AAAAACTGTATCCTATATACAGCTTTCACCACAGGGCCCAACTCAGTGACTAACATCTGCTCAGTCATTAATTTGGAATTTTAAGTTAACACAATCAACCTACCAGCTTAACATAATATGCCAGTAAAGCATCAGAGAAAGAAAAATCTACTCTTCAAAGAACTCTAAAACCCAAAACACAACTCTCCAGATTAACTCCATCCAAGAAGTTAAAGATTATAAAAAAGCAAACCCATTTGTGTTCTTTTGGGTCCTTAACACAAGCTAAGAGTTTAATCTTGCTAAAATAGAATTGAGGGATAGGGGATTTAGCTCACTGGCACAAGAGTCTGCCTGGCAAGTAAAAGGTCATGAGTTAAATCCCGTTTCCAGGAAAAAAAAAAAAAAAAAAAAGAATTGAGCAATTCTGCTCCCTCCTAAAAATTCTCCTATTCCTCACCATCTCTCTACAAAAAGTCGAACTATTTAAATGGCATTCTCTGAATTTAACTTACCTTTTCAGAATCTCCATTAACTTACTTTTTAAAATATACATTTTTAGTACTGCCTATTGTTTACAAAACCCTGGGTTTCAATGTGGTACTTTCATACACACAGGTAACACATTCTCATCCTGTTTCCCTCCCTTACATCCCCTCCCTCCATTTCCCAGATTCAATATAATCGCCTGGCCCTTTCATGGCCCTGAGCATTCTCTCCTTCTGGAAAGACATTACTCATCAACAGACTTGCACCCTGCATTCCAGTTGTTCTGGGTCTTTAACTTCACTTTTGAATTCTAAATTGCTAAGCAGCAAAAAGGAATGTACTATCCATTTATGGTAGTAACCCAATTTAAAACTTTAATCCATTTAGCTCAGTGGCATAAGCGCCACAATAAGGATACAATGGGCTGGGAGTGGTGATACACACCTGTGATTCAACTACTCAGAAAGCCAAAACAGAATCGCAAGTTCCATGCCACAGTGAGACCTTGTTTCTAAGTTCAAAAAATAAATAAATAAACCCAGCAGAGTTGAGGAAGACTGGGAATGTAATTCAGGGGTAGAGCACTTGCCAAGTATGTACAAAGGTCTTGAGTTTAATTCTTAGGGCTAAAAAACAACAAAAAAGACACAATAATGCTAAGCTGTAAATGTAAAACATTTACATTTACCTGAACATTCATCTATTATTTCACTTTTTTTCAACAATGACAATCAAGTCCAGTTCTTTGAGCATGCTAAGCAAATAAATGACCACTGAGCTAGACTGGAGACCACATTATTGCACTTTTACTTACACAAAATTAAGAGGTAGTTGTTTTAAATGTCCTATTATCACTGCAACAAGGCTGAAAAGAAAGGCAAGCGTTTCTGATTCTCAAGCCAAATTACTTTTTTTTCTTCAACAAATACATTTATTTATGTTAAACAAACTGAGATTTGATAATGATGGCAGTACGAGTCAAAAGTAAGATGTAATTCATCAGTTCTTTATAGTGGCAAATTGCTCATTTTATATATGATACAAAACTTAAGTTTCTATCAAATTTTCAAAGGTATACTCTCCATAGATTCAAGAAAAAACAAAATATGAACCTACAATATGGAAAAAAGCGTAAGAAAATAACTTGCTGGTTAAAGAGGAAATCCTTGGAAATAACATTTAAATCTACAAAATTTAAGATGACTTGAAAAGATACAAAAGGTAATAATAGTAAGGATTTCTGCTCAGCACAGAAAATTCTCAATGAAATCCAAATCCACCTGGAAAAATCACAAGGTGTGTCAATTCTCTACAAATGACAATGAAATATCTACAAAAACAACAGCAAAAAGAATTTTCATCAGAACATTCTCACATTGAGAACATGATACAAGCAGATTTATTTTTTATTTTGAAGGGAATAAAACAATAAAACAAAACAGGGGTAACAATACTGGATTTCAAAAACAAGACAGAAGGAAATCTCCCATAGTTCCTATATTACATATTGTTATCCTTTAAATAGGCGCTCAGACTACAGGCTTTAGGCCTGCAAAGTCTGTCAATCAATACAAACTTTAAATTGCTTTTGTACCTCAGTTACTATCATCCCAGCCTGTGTTCCTCCAAATCAGTCAGTTGCCTGTCTCCCAGCCCACCAACCAGCTGGCTCATGGGAAGAGTGGGTTGACTTCTTGGCTCTTCCCAGACCACAACTGCCACTGGCTCACAGGAAGGGTGGGTTGACTTCTTGGTTATCTGCTCCATCCAGGACTGCTACTGGCTCACAGGAAGTTGGGTTGACTAGTTTCTCTTCCCAGCCTGCAAGGCTGTCACTGGCTCACAGGAAGGGTGGGTGGACTTCCTGGTTCTCTCCCCAGCCCATGTGGCTGCTGCTGCCTCACAGGAAGGACAGGTTGACTTCTTGGTTCTCCCTCTGGTCCAAATGGCTGCTACTGGCTCACATGAAAGGCATGTTGACTTCTTGGTTCTCTTCCCAGCCCACTACTATTGCTAGCTCACGGGATAGGCAGGCTGACCTCTTGATTTTACAGAAGATCTTACTGAGGAAACAGAAAAAGAAGCCCACTGCGTAGCTTGAGGATTTCCCAGGTTCTTTCTGAAGTAAGACACAGTGAATAGAAGCCACAAAATGCAGTCTAGCGAACTATTCTCTATCTGTATTGTCTTTGGGACATGCAATTGATGCCATGACACCAGAAGAGCCCAAGTTATTTTCAATGGAAAAAGACATTCATACATTTAAGGTTAATATTTATTCCACAGCAGAAGATAAAATATAACATTATATTTAATTCTTCAGATACTGGTACAAAAATCACAAAATAATGATTCACTGGACATCCATGCAAGACTGATTAAAACACTCTGTATTTTGCTAGAAAAAGTTCTACAGGGGCTGGGGATTTAGCTCAGCGGCATAAGTGCCTGCCTTGCAAGCAGGCAGTCGTGAGTTCGATCCCTGGTACCAATAAAAACGAAAAAGACCAAAAAAAAAAAAAAAAAAAAGAATAGAAAAGAAAAGAAAAAGTTCTACATTGAAACAAAGGCAGTATTAAAAAATGAACAAAGGCAGCATTACTTGCCTCACCTCATTTTCCATAATTCTAGCTGCTTTTACATCCTCATTGTTTTTTCAATTAGTGTCTCATATACTAGCAGGCTTTTTACTACTATTTGTTGTAATGATCCACACAGAAAGGTGAGTACCTGGACAATGCTTGGAGAACTTAGCTTAGAATTCTATGAACTATCTCTATCAATGTAGCTTTTTTTGTCTATTGGGACTGATAAGTAGGCCCCCAAATTACAGGTTCCCATAGGAACCTAGCATTCAACATGCTTAAATAACCTTCTAAATTCAGACTGAATCTTTTTATTTTTTTTCGGTCTTTTTGAGACAAGTGTCTCGCTATGTAGTTCAGGTTGGCCTCGAGCTCAATTTGTAGCCTAGGCTGGTCTCGAACTGCAACCATCCTCCTGCCTCAGCCCCCAGAGCGCTGGGATTACAGGCATGAGCCACCACACCCGCTCTAGACTACTCAATCTTCAAACTGAGATAGCAAACATCAATACTAAATTCACTGCACATCATACAATTTTTTTTCTTAAAACACACCCGCTTTAGACTACTGAATCTTAAAACTGAGATAGCAAAAAGCAATACTAAATTCACTGCACATTATACAATTTTTTTTTCACGTAAGTGGATATTACTAGTATTTTCAAGTAAGTCAGGCTCAGAACATGAAATGGCACATTTAGATTTTTGCTAGTCACATGGCAAAAGTTATGATAAAAAGCTGGTTTTTCCTACCCTGTCTCCATAAAAAATAAGTTCCAAGAATAGAATTTTAAAGTAGAACAGTAGATACACCGATTGTACAGAAACCACTAGGTTTGTATAAAGTGGTAATCATCACTACAGCAAACTCTAGTCAGGGACCTAAACCCATTAGCTATAGCCTATTCCTCAACCTAGATCGTACATAGCCAAACAAACTATAATGACAATGACTGTTTCAAGGGTGTGTTTTAGTAGAAAAGCAGCAAAACATATAGGATTAAAAATTCTGGAAAATTTATACAACACAGACTTTCAATACTTTGTACTACAATTTTGGAGAAAACAACTAATACTGAACTGACTTCAACTGGTTAAATCTGTACCCTGGGAAGACTGTCATAAATATAGTTCTGGAATGTCTGTGGAACCTAGCAACCACTTTTTAAAAGTTTCATTTGTGGATGTTTCTCCCTGCCTTTCTTTTGAAGACCTAAATATCTTTAAGAATCAAACTAACAGTCACTAGTCTTTCCCACTGACAAAAATCATGTGAGCGATAACTCCACCATTTGACTAAATGTATCATCCAATTAAGAAAAACAAAACAAAACAAAAAGACACACCACAATCGCGTTTTAAGGAAAAAGACATTTAACAACTTCGCGAGAAGCACGGAGGATAATTTTAGGCTTCACTCTGTGCACTCATTCTTGCACGTTGCTTGCGAGGTAAAATTTTAATCTACAAATTACTAAAAATGCAGCGAGCACCGCAGCTGGGCAAGCCGGCGGACACACTTAACACTTCCTCCTCTGCCATCCGTACTGCCAGGTGACTATGTCCTATTCAGATTTATGGTTCTTCAAAATAGCTGCCATCTACGTGCGAGACCTAGAGAAAGAGTTCTTGCACTACACCAGGAAAAAAACAGCCGGGTCTGATGTGGTAACCCGCGGGACGCAAGAACAGAAGCGTCTGGGGAGAAAAAGCAAGCCCGGAACTGCTTCCTCCGGGTCGACGGCTTCGTGAGAGCCGGTAGCTCCATCGAAGGAGGCGGGACGCGCGCTACTAAAGACGCTTCCAGGTCCCTCCGCGTGAACCCAGTGGCTGCGGCCGTACCGCACCGGGGACAAGGACAGCCCTGTGGGGTCACCGCGGCCTAGCCCTGGGCGGCACGGCGCAATTCCCCGGGCCACGCCGAGGCGGCGGGCGCGGCGGCCCTCACCTTTAAAGAAGCGCAGCGCCAGGCCGTACAGCTCCTCCAGGCCGAAGCCCCAGAGCTGCTCCAGCCGCCGCGCCTCCTCCTCCGCCTCCCCGGGCACCGGCTGCTCGCCCGCGGTGCCCGAGCCCCGTCCGGACCCGGGGGACGATGGCGACGGCAGCGGAGACGGCAGCAGCGGGGCGCCCTCCGCGCCAGGCCGCTCCTCCGGGTCCGGGCTTAGCGTGAGACCGTCCACAGACACCTCCAGCCGCTCCGCGTTCAGCACCGCCGCCATCTCCGGCTGCAGCGCCTCCTCAGCAGGCACTGGCGGCGGCCACGTATCGACTTCCTGCTGACCCCTGACCCCTCCCGCGCCGCCGGAACTTCCTCTGCCGGGAGCTGGGGGCTCTACCAAAGGGCCGAGGCAGCCTGTCGCCCCGCCCTCCCCTTCGGTGCGGCGGGCTACGTGTGTTCCGCGAGACCGCGGCCGAGGGAGTGTGTCTCACGGTCCTCCCGGTACTCCTAAGGCTTGCGGCCGGGCTCTGGAGAACCTGGCCCGGCTTGGCTGGCAGAGCGCTACTGTGCCGAAGCTGAGGACGTGCCGGCCAGGTGTAGGCTTTTGTTTTCTTTTTTAAAGAGAAAACCGGCTGCTGGGGAGTCATTGGTGTCTCTGAAGTAGTTGTAGGCAGAGTAACACCTAGTTTTACAGCAACGGGTCTCATGCAATTTTTTAGCTCCCCATTGGGGAAAAAAGTAGCAAACATCAGGCGAAGAAGGCTGGAAAGAGAATGTGTTCGAATAAGAAAGGACACACCACCAAGATCACAGACATGATCAAAATACGGATTTTTAGTAGCAGTGCGATACGTTTCTTCAGGACACAGTTTCCTCCAGTTGGAAAATGCCCTTGGCCTCAAAGTGTACATTCACCTGTATTTGTAGACTCTGGGGATGCTATTTATAGTTTTGCCTCTATTTTGCTGGCTGTTTACTTTTGATCACCTTTTCCTGTAACAATTATAATATTTTCTATAAAGAAAAGAGATGAATCTTTTCCCTTGTAGGATAAAATTTCTTCAATTTGGTAACTCATTACTGAGATTGACCTGTATCTTTCAAGGATCACTGAGGATTCTTTTGCTCAGTTCAGATGGAAATCATGACACCGCAAAGTATGGCTCCCTTGATGTCATGCGCTCGGGTCCCTTAGTGTCACAGCTTTCAGAACTCCAAATCGCTCATCAGCCCTCCACCCACCCTGGCAGCTTCTGTAGCCGCTGGGGGCGGGGTGGGGCTCTCTGTGGACTGTGCAAATCTCTGCAGGTCATCGATGGTCACCAATGTTCATGGATGTGAATCTTCACTGGTCTTAGGAACTCTTCACAGCCTATTTAGCCCCTGTTGTAGTTTGGGGTTTGCACGGAGAACAAGACAATACAGGACACACAGTTTATATTATTATTTATTTTTTACAGTATTATTTATGATAGTCACCCCAGAGTCAAAGTGCAAGAAATCTGTCTACGTTATAAAGTCATAGAGAATCCAGCTGAGGGCCTAGATCCCACAACAGCGTCCTGAATGAGTCCAGCTGAAGACCTACAGCCCACGACAATATCTTGTACAAGTCCACCTGGAAGCCTAGAGCCCACAATGACTTCACACAAGTCTGTTTCACAGGTCTGCACTGAGAAGGCCCAAAGATCAACAAGCGGAAGCTAGAAAGTCTAGGCCAGCAGGGTGAAGGATCTGTGCCAGCAGGTTGAGGGTTCTGCACTGGAGCCAAGAAGCAACACTCAAAATAAGGACCAGGCTCTCCCACAAAGTACCACAGCCAGCCTCACAACGAGATCCCAAGCTCCTCCAACAATGACAACAGTGAAGTCCATGTCCAGAAACCAGTGTGACAAGCTTATCCTGGAGACTGAACAACACACATCTTCCCCTCCAGAGCCAGGAAGTGATACTCAAAGGACCAAAGCTCCCCCAGAGTGAACCACAGCCATTTTCAGCCACAAGATCCCAGGCTCCTCCAATGATAGTAGCCAAGTTCATATCAGGGAAGCCAACATGACAGGCTCCTCCAGGAGAACCAACAGCTGCAAACAGCAAAAACACTTAGGAGAACCCACAGCATTACAGAAAACCAACAACACTTTCCCTCCAAGTCTTGCTTTTATGCTAGCCACAATCCTCAGGTGGGCCATCTATACTCAGCACCACACTGTCAGTTCAGGAGATATTTAAATTGACCATCTGTTTTCAATCTACTACGACCCCTTACCTGCACTTTTATAAAAACGTTTGCAGTACGTAGTGATCACTTTGCTCCCAGGGAGTTGGTACATCCTAAATATATTTGGTTTCCCTTCCCCTTCTTTCTCTCTTCCCACCATCTTTTGATCTCCTTCCTATTTGCAAAAGATCTATCCCCCTTTTCAATTTTTTGGGTCTCACTTTGTTGTCCAGGCTGGCCTTGAACTGACTTTGTACCCCAGGCTGTCCTTGAACTCAGAAATCCTCTTGCCTCAGCCTCCCAAGTGCTGATATTACAGGCATATGTCACTGTGCTTGACTTTATTTCTATTTTATTTTTGTCTTCTTTGGGTTTCTCATTTAAGAAAAGCTATGTGATATTTAAGCTTGTATGTGTGATTTATTTAATTTAACCTAATTGTCTCAATGTGCATCCGTTTTTCTACTAGTTTTTGTTTTGTTTTGTTTTGGGGGGCTTCTTCTGGTACTGGGAATTGAACTCAAGACCTTGCACTTGCCAGGCAGGTGCTTCTGCCACTGAACTATATCCCCGGACCCCTATTAGCTCTTTTTAAAATATATTTTCCAATCCTTAAAATGTTTTTTAAATTTCATTTTGAAGGTAGTAAAATACAACAGAAGACAGAACAAAGCCAATCGAGACAATGCAGTGAAATTGGTACAGAACTTCACAGCGGATACCGGATTAACAGTAATAGGTGCCATACTATATGTCGTTATCTTCACAATAGTTGTCCATTCGATTGGGTATAGCAAAATCAAAAACAGAACATTATAAAATCAGTCGAAAGAGAATATTAAATAGAGCAAAACAATCAGACAAAGCAAAATAGTGAAAACAACATTTGCCTTCAAACAGAAGATAGAAGGAAATCCCCCATATTTGTTATATTGCACACAGTCATCCTCCCAAGAGATGCTCAGACCTCTGCCCCTAGTTGCTAGCAGGGGGCAGGGGGCAGGGGGCAGGGGGCAGGGATGGGATGTTTGATTGTCAGCCCATGCACCAGTAGGCTCATGGGAGACGCTGACTGGTTCTCCTCCTGGCTTGTGCAAGGGATGCTTACCAGAAGGGGGGCAAATTGCTTTCTTGTTCAGCCACCTAAGTTCCACCATGGCCAGATCTTGGGAGATGCTGACTGGTTCTTTTCTTGGCTTGCACAACGGGTGCTTCAATCCTTAAATTTTTAATTTGAAGTACATTTAAGTTTGATTATATTAGATATATTCTGATATATATATACATATATACATGCAACACAATGACTTTTTACATTCCTTACAGGCACTGTTGTGCAATTTTCCTACTAGCTCTCTTGTAATGACTGAGTCTACACATGCTACCAAGAGAAGAAAAGTGTGTAGGTCTATGGGACCACCCCAGTCAAGAGGAGGGTGTGACAAGTGCCTTTTGGGTCTTGGCCCCTCTGCCTGTCCAAGGGGAAAAGGAAGAGCTGGGCCTCTGTCCCTTCTCACTCCTGTCAATTTTCTTTCTTGTATAAGCTTTAAGATTTCAGGGCTTGTTTACAGTGCTGTGCACCTGTAATCCCAGCTACTCAAGAGGCCAAAGTGGGAAGTCAGCCTATGGAGCTTAGTGAGACCCTATCTCAAATTTAAAAATACATTTAGGGTTGTTTGCCTGCCTGATGGCAATTTTGTGTGTGATTATTACTAGAGCACCAGAGAGTTTTTTTTCAGGGCAGGATTATCTGCCTTGTTCAGGCAGATCTAATGTATTAGGGATGAATACCACTTACAACGTCACATGGCCAGCACAGGAATTCTACTACATGCCTTTTTGCATGATTTACATAAGCACAAAAAGAAGCATGGTCTATGTATAATCAATCATGTGTATGCCATTATTTAAGGTTGCCAATCAATAAGAACCTTTTTTAAAAGAACCTCTGTTTTGATTAGACATTGAGGACATTTATCCCTCTACTTAAACTTTTTTATTTCTGATGTCTGGAAGACTTTTTAAAAAAAATTTTATTTAAAGAAAAGCTAAACAAAACAGAAAATAAGTAGAAATAATACATATGTACAGAGAAAAAAATAATCAGTAAGAAATCACTAGTTGAGGTTTACATATTGTAGTTTTACAAATCATTGTTCAAGATACAAAATGGAACATGTAAAGTGGGAATTCAAACAGCGAGACTGCAAACAGTTCTGTTCAGCTGTCGAACAAAAACTTAGTAACACGGTTGTCAGTCCTATACACTTAAACATAAATGCAGTTATCCATATCTCAGGGAGACTCTGTAGCCAGTTGTTATCTATCCACCACCTTTGCTCCTCCTCCTGGAAGACTTTCCTATGGAGTAGTTTATTTTCTTTGAAACTTTGTTTCTCCTCCACTGCCCACCTACTTCCTGTGCCAGGCAGTACAGAGTTTTCCCCCCATGCCCTGCCATCTGTGGTGAGGTGCTGGTAGCATTGGCAGAATGGGCACTAGATGTATACCAGAAGGCCATTTCTACACCCACAGTGAGGAATGAATTAGCTTACATTGAAGTTACCACAAGCCATTTCAGTGCATGCCACTAAGCACAAATTCAATGTACCTTTTATTCAATCAGCCCCTTACCAGATTCCCCCAAAGCCTCTGGCCATTGCACAATATCCTGACGGAGAAAAAGGGTGATAAGGGAAGTGAGAGATAGAGACAGCAGCTCTTGCTCTTTTTTTCTCCCTCCCTTTATTTGAGCTTTCACAAAGACCTGGCATCATAACTGCTTGACCCTGGACTGTTCCAAGGACCCTGCCAGGAGCTGTGCTAAGAGTGTTTGTGCTCCATTCACTCCACAGCAAACCCACTCACAGCTGTGGAAGGTGCAAGACTCATTCTGCTACTCCAAGCCCTGGGTCCTTTCCACTTAGCTTAGATGTTTATATTCAGCTTTAAGTAGTTTAAAAGTATGCATGTTACAAGGCCTAATCTCCCCCTAAAAAGTTCAGCTCAGCATCCCACCTTAGTAGTAATTGTTGAGAGCAATAATGAGATGGGTAGGTATAATTCTACTTCATGGAATTTGAATTGTTTTCCACAATAAGCATTTTATTTTTTTGA